TCTCTCTCTCTCTCTCTCTCTCTCTCTCTCTCTGTGGTGTGCTTGTGCGCTTGCGTGCCTTGGAATGCTCCATCGGGAATGATTCTTGTTGCTGGCGGTGTGTTTGGCTTGTTGTCTTCCAAGATGGTCATCTACAACAAACTCCTATAGCTTAGTAGATCTCGGGGGTAATGCTGCCCGCCGGTAGTCTGGTTTTCTGCGAGTTGTGGCCTTAAGATTTTGAGATCAAGGGCCGGGATTGCCCAAAACGGTGTTTTTTAACGAACTGTGTCCGGCCAGCTGACCGAGATGTGGTTCTTTGTGGAATTAGCTTTTCGTGCGAAAAGAGTGTGTTGCGCCAGTCGATTGACTGTTGTCGAATGGCGTGTCCTCTAAGTGCGGCGCGTGGTGTGATTGGGATTGTGCCGTTTTTTTTTTCCTTCCCGCCAGTGCATGCTGTCAGACACTGCCATTTTGTTTTTCTCCCTTGGCATCTTTTCTCTCTTCTTCTTTTTTTTTTTTTTTGAACACTCCATTCTATTTGTGGGGAGCAGCACATGCTGGGAACTGGGCCCAGCGTCCCATATACGGAGCATGCATGTTGGGCCCGTGGTCCCCACAGTCTACCCGGAAAAATAAACAAACATGGATACCGGGAGCACCATCAGGCTTCGGTTTTGAAGGAGAAATCTCTGCTGGAAATCCGGTCCAGCGTGCCATCCTTACTGAAGGTATTTCTGTGGTATCTACTCAGCAGAACTGTACTGGAAATGCCGTAAGAGGAGCGAGGCTCCGAGAAGCCCGCCTTATTACCATCTGCCCTTGATCTAATGCAAGACTTAGAAGACCTCTCAGCCCGAGGGCTGTCTAAACTGTGAAACCAGCTTGTCGTCCGAGTGAGGTCAGAATCGTACCAAACCAGCTTGAACATCCAACTATATCAATTGATTTGCGCGGTCCCAATCTATGACTTGTCACTCTGTATACATCTCTCTTCAGATGCTACCTTACAGTCTATTAGTAGTATTAGAGCTGTTTACGCAGCCACGATCCAACTTGACTAGTTTGTGGTCAATTGCCCAGGTTTTCAGAAACCAGATGGGGCCCTTTCTTTTGCGATCCACAAGGATCGTGTTTATCTCATGTGTTCTCGAATCTGTGCTTGTAGCTGCCCCTTGCCCGGGAGTTCCCCCTGGAATAGGGCGTTGTTCCGCGATTGCCAGACGGTGTTCATGATGATGCCTCGGCATGCCAGCCCAACATATCCCCATCCCGAGGAGTAGTTCTGTATGTCTGGGCTTATTCCAGTTTCAAATTTCAATCCATTTATCCGTCCAGGGGAAAGCTTCTGCCGAAAATGCTTTCCAGTGTTTCCTTGTTACATCTTCGACTCACACGGGTCCTACCGGACCCGACTTAGGGCCGGAGGGACACACCAGGGCCTAAAGGCCCGACCTTTGGGGTTTACAGGCCCTAAAGGCCTGATTTTGGACTATCACCCATCGGGTAGGCCCAAACGACACTTCGTTTGGGCCTGGCGGCGCTCTTGAAGCTGCCGCCCGCCGATTGAGGCTGAACCGTCCATCTGGACGGTTCAGGGTCTGGCCTGGCCTCGCAGCATTGAGGCCAGACCATTGCCCACCGGTATAAGTACTGGTATCCGCCTCAGTAGTGGGATCGGCCTACCGGAACTCTACCGGCACGGCATGGTCAGTGCTAGTACACTGTTTGATGCGCTAAACTTAGCGCAGGGGCTGACAGGAACGCAGCATAGCGCAGCAGCGAGCGGAGCAGCAGCGGGCGACTGAGCTTGCACGGCGGTTATTACCGCCTGAGGTATCGGGAGCTTGGAGGGTCTCTCCTCCTCTCCCTCACCAGTCCCCTCTCTCTCTCTCTCCTCTTCCTCCTTCTTCTTCTTCTTCTTCTTCTTCTTCTTCTTCTTCTTCTTCTTCTTCTTCTTCAGATTGGAGACTATCCAGTTGGACAGAGATCAGAGTTGGATTTCGGTGATACGAGACTGTGGTACTTACCTGATTGGAGACTTG